GCCTTCCAGGGTAAAACGGCTATTGTGCGTTTCGCGAATGATTTTAATTAAAACCAATTTGTGAGTTTGCGATTATTCCCCAGAGGTTAAAAGGGAGAGAAAAATTTAGCGCAATACAAAAATTCGTATTGTGAATGCGGAGAAATCCCTGAAACACTACAATTTTAAACATAAACAACCCCAAGACTAAAAGAAACTCAAGTCAGATACTCAACAAAACCCCTATTCTTGACTTCCTATTGCTGTTCTTTTCCCGTGGAAAGAAAAACTTTCCGTGATTCTTCTCTCCACTATAGTTATGGCTCATGAATGTGCTTTTGCAAAGAGTAAAAGAACTGTGTGTGGTAATATTTCGTCCCAAAATGAAAAACTGCTTCTTATTGTTACTCACACTTCCGACTGCCCGGGTTATAATGAGATTATAGACGTATTTCAGCGGCAAAAGTTAAGGGTGAGTTCATGTTAATGTTATGAAAGAGGTTTTAAAGGGCATCCCAAACATTTGTGGTGTGTATTTGACAGTAATAAATCGTTGAATGTGTTACAGTCTATATTGTTCTTGATAAATGATACTCCTAGGGAAACTTCAGCTTATAGCACTTGCGGCAACTTCTCCGTTTTTTACACATTGCCACTCATACGAGAGAGAGATAGAGAAATTTCCATGGTTAGGAAATTTCCGGTAAAGATAAATATGATTTTACACATACCGTCAGATTCAGCTTTGTGCACAGGAATGTGACCTATTTAGGACACTTGCAGGGGCTTGCAATTATTGCAAAAAGAAACACTATTCGACATTGTTTCCGCTTTGACTACAATAGCCATCGTCTCCCTTCTTCAGAGGGAGAAGCTGAGTCTGTCCACCTCTAAGTAATTGCTGTTTTAACGTATAATGAATAGCGGAGGGTAGAAATATCTCCATTTATCTTCATTGTATACACGCTCCAGGACATTTCATTGCATCTCCTAAGCAGAAACTTTCCCCTTTCTGATGTGTGTGCAGAGATGAGCTTTTAGAAACCATACACCCTTTCCTTTTGATAAACTTCTCAAGACACGCATCCACCGTATGTGAGAGTCTCTGCAGAACCTCAAGTACCCTCAGCCAGCCGAGGAGCAGCTCATATGAGATGCAGGAAATGCTGGGAAGGGTGTGTTATTTATTCAATTTCAATTGACTTCCTAAACTGTACCTCAAAGTTTGCATTATGGATAAAGCGAAAAACATCTCTCATGCCCTCAAAGCTCATCATTTCCAAACCCACCCCCTCTTGAGTGATTTAATTTAATTTCATTTGCCTACAATTTAATTAAACTTTAACTCATATTCCTCCACATAGCCGAAGAGACTCCCTTTTTGGGGGCACCATCGCAAGAACTTGATGGACCTTCGGGCGAATGTGGAGCCATTTGAAAATGGTGAATCCTTGAGAAGACATACATTTACATAACCTCTCGAGGCCACTCAAACGTGAGTGTTAGGTAAAGTTTACAAAGTTCAGAATGGCCATAGAAAGCATAATGGAGAACTAACATAGATTGGAAAATTTGCCAATCAAAGAGCGAAAAATTGCCCGATAAATTAATTTCTCAACATAACATACCACACGAAAATTCCCCGGTAGCCTCAACGAGATGGAAATTTAATATTCTTTGTATTTTGGACTCTCACATGCAGGATTATTGCCTGGAAAAGCGCTCCCACTTTGAGCTGGATTTCAGGAATTCTGTGAATTTTTAAAATTCAATAGACAGTGCTTGCGGAGAGCAATCATTGTTACAGAATTAGAGGAATTTTTATTGTTGCCAGAGTTGCTCTCAACACGGGTAATCACACAACATGATCACTTGTTCAAATATTTTACTTTTACTTTTTCCGGAATTTATTAGATTTTTTTTTCCTGAGATATTTTCACATTTCTCAATTCGCTCTAATCATGGAGTATGTTAACAATAGGATGGAATAATTGCTGGTTCCCTACTAAAAGAGCAAACAAAGGGTGGGTTCTTACAAAGTGCCATCCGACAAGACCATGTCCTTTATTTTAAATTGAAAGCCTTTTAAGTGTTTGTTATATTCGGTTCCGTTCAGATAGTTATCTTGTTAGTCCCAAATGGGATGCCATTCCAATAAAACAGGGGCTGTAACCATGAGGGAGGAGCACAACAAGTAGGGAAGATATTCTTTATGTGGGGGTAGCTCTCAAGTGGACAGTTTAAGGGGTTCCCCAGGATCCCTTTTCGCCATAGTGACTGCCAGGGTGCGGCAATTTCTTTTTCACCTTGCCTGACATGAGAAATTCGCCGTGAAGAAACGAAAATTGTATTTCCTCATTCAATTTCCCATTTTCATCTCTCGCGCCATCATACATTCCCTTCTCTTTTCTCCTCTCCTCCGCACTCCCACGTCGGATTGGGGGGAGCGGGTGGAATATGTAAGATAAAAAAAAACACATACAATTGGGTGTTTGGCACTCTTTCTACCGATTTCAATCAATTTCCAGTATGTACTTGATGATATTTCTTGCGCTCGTTCGTCTGTTTCTGCGCTGACGAGAAAGCAGGCCTCCTCGTGCCTTCATCCTGGGGGTTGTAATCATGAGTGCGGGCTCTGGAGGAGGCGCTGCTAAATAAATTATTGATGAATTTGAATTTTTACACCCTCTCACGGTGTTTGGGAGCCTCTCTGCACCCCCACATGTTTGCACGCCGCCCATGGCAGGATTTAAAGGGAGCCGAAGAGCAACAATTGAAGCGTTGATTTATGATTGCTTTTATCGTAAAATTTTTCCCCAGTAGTCTCATCACGTTTCGTGCTGAATTCGAACAAACACCCCCGTCTACCCCCCGACCGACCGCCCCCCGCAATGCCGCTTTTTTTCCATATCGCCCCGCACCAGGCAATTCTAAAGTCCTCCATGGCGCCGTTCCGAGCAGACCCACCAGCGAGGGGAGGTGGAATAATGAAAAACGAGGGAAATTCCTGATAACCACGTTTCTGCCCAAATCCCATGCCGCGTCGCAACATCAAATAATATGACACTCAAGGGAATGCCATGAAAATTAATTTCATATGCGAACAGACACAGCGAATGACTTCCGGAAGGGCGCAATTTTTGCCATGGATATGCTCTGTATTTACTCCAGTTATTGAAGAGCAATTTTCCAGAGTGAAAACTTTCCGTGATGGATTTAACTTTGATGAAAAAAAACCCACAAAACATCCATCTTTCCACGAAAACTTCACGTCAGCAAGGAAAAGTTTGTGGGTGAAGAATTTGAAGAATTGATGCAATTACTTTTCAGCATATATTTAATGCTGATTTGCATTTCAAATTATAAATATTGTATTGCTGATGGTGTTTCTCTTTGAGCAAAGAAATAGTAGAATGAAAGAGATCTGCATATGAAAACACAACGCATTTTCCTCTGTATAATGAAGTCACCAAATTTTCTAAGAATCTTTGTGTCTCCACGTCACTGAAAAAAGCTCCTTTCTCCGCAAATTGGCCAGAACAGCTCTCCATAAAGCGATATATTTTTCACTTATTGCTCCTGAATAATGCATCAAGAGTGAGTTTGCGGGTGCTTTAAGGGTCGTTTTGCGTTCTCTTTCAAGTGAATTATGCGTGATTATCGCTGGCAAATTCCGCGGTGCCCCCAATGTCCCCTCGCATTGGGGGTGGCGCATGAAATATCGTCATAAAGAGAGCCCATTAAGTGAGATGGCTCTTCCTTTCCCTTGACTATTTATATTTAAATTATATTGTGTGTTTGACTCTTGCGTTGGCGAAAGCGCCGCCTGTCACGGCACCGCAACAATTGAGCCCATCCTCTAGAAACCACCATGGGAAACATACGACATCCCCAGGGCGAGCATAAGGGGTGAACTTCCCCGTGACGGCGCGTCAGCATTGAGATGGAGGAGTGTTGAGCTTAAGCACGACTATAAATTATATTTGCCGGCTCCATTCTGTAATTCTTAATATAATAAATTTTCTCGATATGTACGAGTCAGCCCCACCCGCATGGGCCACCCACTCCGGTTGTTTGCCATGTGGTTATTTCAAGAACAAACAGCAACAATGACAATTTAACATGAAACTCGAACATCTCCCGCACCAGAAGATGGAAATTGCGGCGGTGGTTGGCCAGCAATAAACACGATTACATTTGAGCAATTTTCCATGTGCAGTCCAGACATCTCCGCATGAGCTGTGCTCCCGGAGTGGATGATGGAGAGTCCGAACCGCATTATTAACATGGGACACAATGGGACACTGACACATGAGATGTACACAAATAGACCGTATGCCGACTGCTACAGACAAGCCGCCTCCGCATCGGCCTCGCCAGAATTCCAACAATTCGGCCAAGGAGTCGGAGAAGTTCTTGAGTGTGCACCCTCTTCGGCACTGCCCATGCAAACTTTACCCTGAGCTCAGCAAGTTTCCACACATGAATGCAGCGAGTGACAAATGATGCATCACAAGCTGAAAACTTGCAAAATGCCATCGCAAACTATTCAGCTCAAGGAGTCTGGCGCGGAAGTGCATTTTTAGAACGTGTAAATTATCTCATGAGGCAATTATTTAGGTCGCCCGAGAGAATACACTGGAAGGCAAAATCAACATGTAGAGTCCAGAAACCTCAATTTGTTGTAGTCTATTTACATGAATGCAGGAAATTGCTTAATGTTGTATTGCAACAATCACAAAGTTGTATTTTGACTAAAAACTATTGAAGTACAATCTGCACACACTTATGGAAACTCAAGTGATTAAATCACTGAGAAAATTCCATTTACAAAACTCTTTAATCGGATATCACATGACGAATTAATCTAGCACTGTGCTTCTACTTCTTGTTCTACTTACAAATTTCACAACTCTTGCTTAATTAGTGAAAAACTAAAGTTTGATTTGATAAACTTACCATATTCGGCATTGAAAAGAATTTCTGTGAAATTATTAAATATGTATTTTCCGATTTCGCGATTAAAAAACGATATTTTATGAAAAGAATCAAAAATTTTATTGATTTTCTCTATCATTTTGTTTCTCAATACAAAATTTATTAAATCATCTGTAGTTTTTTTCCTTTTGTTATTTTTCGCTTTCCTTTCACATTTACATAGCGTCAAAAACGAGAAGAGATTAAACAAAGCATTTTTTTTCGATGTCACAGTAAAGATATTTTGCTTCACCATCTCACACTTTATCTGGACCAGAAGCAAAACTTATGAAATGCATTCTATTGACTAATTTTCTCCGTGAGACATTTAATACACAATTACTTTATTTTCTTGTTCTGTTGTGTTCTTTAGAAGAAGTTGTATCACTGTTTCAGTGGTGTTTGTGTGTGGATTTGATGGTGAATGGAAAAAGGGAAGAGAAATATTATCCGAGAAAACATATTTCTTGCCTTTCATGTCAAAACCTGCGAGAAATTGAAAAGCTAAACGGATTACTTTCACATTGCAATATTTTTCTACAAATTCCATTTGTCACTCTTCTTTTCACACTTTTTCCTAAATAAATTGTAATAATAGAGATTCTTTATTGTTAGATCTTCCTTTCATCGCATACTTTCCTTTCTTTCGATTTATTCTTATTTTTTTTTCTTTTTGTCTTACACACTTGTGTCAGTTTTTAAGAGAAAAGCTAAGGCCACATAATCAGATTCTCATTTACGCATAAAGCAAAAGGGAGAAAAGAAATGAAGACACAGTAAAAGAAAACAATCACCCACACTCTCATGCCATTCGCCTCAATGTCCTTCTCATTTGCGAGCTTTATTGGAGCTCAAGAGGCTGTCCTTTCGGAGATGGCGAGTAAGTCTCCTGATTTGATCGATAGAGTGTAAATTAAACAGACTCACAAAGGAGTGTCTATGTTGGTAGATGTATTTTGTATTGATTCACTGAAGAGGGTTGAATTTAAGGGGTGAGTTATTCTCAAAATGCAATAATTTCGTTAATTTCTCATTGATTTGGAACATCAAATTGCAATTTAAATGGAGATAATTTGACCGTGGAAAAGCTATTTTAATTTTCCATTAGTTGCCACTTTTTTTCGGCAAGTTTCCTGCCCCCCGAGTTGAATTATCGACTGCCTGCCCATATTGGCAGTGGCTTCAACAAATATAGACATTTTGTACTCCCACTTGAGGCGGTTTAAGGGTCTGCTGACCAGGCAATTCACGCCACAACTTCACACGCTCACTCCCTTGGCTCGGATAATGGGAATCATAATTTACTGAAGCGTGTATTAGTTGGGAATATCAATAATCTCTGACATCATCATATTTGTATTTGATCAAACTTTCAGTACATCCCACAGCATTATTTTCTCCTCTTTCGCCACCGATAACGTCTCGATGGAGACTTTATCTCTCGGGCAATCGAAATACAATCTACCCAGAGTGAAATAGTGCAGCACAGATTCCATTCGAAAGAACGGGAAATCAATTACAAATGGAGGAGTCGAGAAGGAAAGCGATGAAAAGTATCCCCAGAGTTCAATACTTTACACAGCATTTTCGCCATCAATCATTGAATTTTCTTTTCGGAACACTAAACGTTTTCTTCTCTCACTCTCTTCAAATTTTATCAGTACCATCAATCAATAAAGTCGATGTTGAAATATTTCCCGTGAAATTCTTCCCATTCATTGTTCCCCGACTTAGACCCTCTAAGAGAGGGATTCCTTCCTCCCTCCCATTCTTGGACCACGCAGAAAAATTCCACTGCGAAACTTTTTTCCCGCACTCAGGGAAATATCGCGTTTGAAAATTGAGAAAGGTATGAGCGAATATTTCTTCAATTTCACAAACATATACCCAGCTAATAGCACTTCCTAGGAAGAAAAAGTCTCACCCGAAAACTTTCCTCTTTATCAGCTTCTCTTCCACACCTCCAGAGGAATTTCCCCCGCGGAAAATCCCCGCCTCAGCTTTCAAAGAGTCCCCAAATTGCGAGGGTGGGATGGATATTGCTATATAGAAGATATGGATATATGTCGACAAATCAATGGCTACAGAAATTGCTTCTCTGTTGTGTGGAGAGAGCAAAAACACACATTTCCAATTGGCTGTCATTACGGGAATGTCTGTGTAATATTCCCGTAATGGAATAAATGTCGGAAATGCCATATCATAAGCTTACAAGCCACAATCGATGGCAGTTTGCACATGAAGTGTAATTTGTGTTGTTACTCACCCAGTATTAATACAATAAAATCCACTGATTTTGACTAACCAATGAACAAGGGCGAGTAATTCAACTCAGAAATGTTTTATGCCAATTTTCTAAAATAAAAACAACCTTTGAATCAAGCTAAGATTGAACGCATATTTTGCCTAAATTAACTATGTAAATTCACTGAGAGTGACAGACGTGTGAAGTGAAAAGTTACTTGATCCAGCTCTTGTTGTCAACCCATATTATCAATCGAAAATTGTCCACACTGCCATTATTTGGGGCGTGCGTGTTACCAAATTAATCCACTCCCCTAAATTTGCTATTTATCATTCGAATGACAGAGAAAAACTCATCCGTGCCTGATATTTCAACCTCTGTTCAATTGAATCAATTGATTCCAGTTGATGGACACAAATTATAATTATAATGGTCAAATTTCTCCTAGTATTTTGCACCTGTGACACCAATCGAAACATTAAAACATAGCATGGAACAAGCGAGCTTTCGCAAATTCAACCCTCTTCCTGTTGCACTTGTCAGCCTCTGTTCACCACTATGATGTTATGAACAGGAAAAAGTATAGCATTTTGCAGAAATTACAAAAAAAAAGTCCATGAATGGGCAGAAAAAAAAATCTATGGCACAGAATAAAAGAAGCCTTTTCCCAGAATGATCAGCGGGAAAAAAGCGGTTGTTAATAAAATGCTACACAAGCACAAATAATCCACACGACGCATTCGTTCAGCCAGTCTCTCAGTCAGAAAATTTGCATATAGAAGCTATTATTAAATTCATGTTTTTTTTTCAATAATGATTCTCATCATATTCGCTCTCGCTATTCGCATGCAGACCTCTTCTATATGTTCTAATAAAAGAATAGTTGATTAATTTGGAGGTTTTTTTTGTTCAAAGTAAAATTTCAACTCTCGTGTGATTCTTTTAGTTAGAAAATATATGTTTTTTAACTTTTACATTACAATTTTTTTCACTCATCTCTCCTCTGTTCGGTTTCACTATTTACAACATTTCACCCTCACCAACTTCGCGTGGGCAGGTTTTGGGGCCATTCTCTCCTCTCTTCGTGCCCAGTTTTTGCTGAGCACATACAACATGCCACAGAATTTTGTATCGTGAATGAACGAGTCTCTTTACAGTTTCATTAAAAACTCACGTGTTCATCCAATTTACAGCTCAACGTTGAACATTTTCTCTCCTCTGCAAACACAATATTTTGCATGTAATGCCATGCAGAATTTGCCCGTCTCACCGAGGTTAATGAAATTAATCTCCTGCTCTTTTCTTTATCTCGTATGTTGTGTATGTGTGTGTGTGTGTGTTAGGGAAAAAAGGGAATCTCTGCGTCTCTCCTCAGGCTTGTCCTTCTCAATTGTAGCTGATATGAATTATTTAAAACATTTGTTGACAAAAATGTCATTCTCACAGAAGGGAACGTTGTCAGTGGAATACAAATGAAAGTTCACATTTGTCCGTGGCGTGTGAAAAAAGGACGAATGGAAATTAAAACTAAACATTGGTCATTCATCCCAGAGACACTGTTGCTTCTGTCGCACGTAATATGAGTATTGATTGCACTTGCGACACGTCTTGATGCCGCACCGATAACTGGCGGAGCCCGACGCCACAGCACCATCCTCAGCCTTACCTTTGCAGTACTTCAGGCCACAAGGATACCAGCCAATGCACATCTCCAGGAAGCACGTGCACGGAGCCCACACGCCCGAAACCTCACTGCATCGCGACGGCTTTGTGGGTGGAAATTGACGCAGTGCTGATTCCAGATTGGATATCGAAGAGCCTGTAAAAAGAGGTCATAAATCTAAAATTCATCGATTTCTTCAGCCTCTGCATGGCAATAAAAGTATGCCCACCCCTTTCGCACCAAAATTAATACATCCGCAGTGGCAACGTGGCAAGAATGCCGAATAAACATACTATTACTCCCAACGATAGGCATTCCACCCATTTATCATATCATTTCCTCTGCTCCTGCACACGCATCATAACGCATTTGGAGAGTAATTCGGAAATAATACGAAAAGGAAATTGCAAATTTGTATTGAATTATTCAGCAAAATGTGAATTATCGACAGAAGCCAAACATGTTTTTCTAACATTGCATTTTCTGTCGCTTGTTTTTGACTTTGCCTCTAATCGATTTTCATAAACAGGCGGAAACTCAATTTTGCTGGAACATTTTTCTCTCCATTCAAAAGTGCACTCTCAAGCAGACAAAAAAAACTTCCCATTGAATAAATTATGCATAAAGAATATTGCAAAATTGTATTTCATTTCATTTCGTAAAAAATAGTCAAATTCCCTAAATTAACTACACAACTTTTGTCTCCGATTCGAATAGAAAGCAATTTAAAGTGCATTACGCTCAGTTTGTTTCCATTCGATTTTCCAGTGATCAAGGAAAAACATTCAGACACGGTCGTTTTAGAGAGCAAGAGGAAAATTATACATAGAAGCAATTAGAGAGGAAAAATTGAACACTAGTTGATACCATCTGGAAAGGACAATAGAGTGAGAGACTAATTTCAAACTAGTCATATCTTTCAACTCATTCGGAACCCATCGCTTTGGAAATTAGGGTGAACTTGCACAAAAGCGTATGGAGGATTATAACAACCTTTTATCCTCTCCCCCGATAGCAGCACTTGGAGCAGTAACTCCCAGTGATAGTCTCTTTCTCTCTCTCTCTGGAGAGTGTAAATTCATGCACAAGAAATGAATTTATGTAACCCACTTGACTCAATTCCTGTGTCTATCGCCTTACTCAGTTTCCTATTTCCTTCGCCGGATGGTCCATTGCTATCTGATTTAATTCCTCTTGTTCTCAAATCTCGCCCCACCACACAAATTTATACTACTTTCACCCACACAATCGTGTATCCACTTCGGCAATGGCTACATAGGAAGTCGGACATGTTCCTCTTTAGCCGTCCACTTCTCGCAAAAGCAGCCCCGCACTCTGTCGGTCTCTCACTCCCCATACATACATTTATTTGCCAACAAATCCCAGTAGAAATACACATTTGCGAATCCATTTGTGCGCCCCCAAAACAGTCCGGCACAAACACACCACTCGATCGAGTGGTATCTCCCGGCTCTTTTTCCGCAGCCGCACCACCCCAAAAATTTCTTTGGCCGCACTCTCCTGAAAGCGCCATAGACAGAGGAGAAACAATAAAGCCACATGAGATAATGGGACCAGATGTCTGGATTTGTGAGCTCTGTTCTTCCGACGGACATCGTGGAAATTTAATGGGGTGTCTACTACACTTGAGCCCCTGTGCAGCCCATTCAGAATATCTAAATTATTGTGGCCACGCCATATTTATCAGATAGACAGAGGTAGTATACGGCTATTGTGTTACAAGGTTAAAATATGCTCCTCCACAAAAATCTTAATGGAATATCACCCCTTTTATACGCCCGAATTATGCGCCCTAATGAAATTATATTTCACTTCCACCCCAAAAGTCTCTTACACCTGCTTTTATTCATTGCTGGATGTTTCGGAATAATTACGCTCGGTGTTTGCCTTCACCGCACCGAAGGACCGAGAAAGGACAGAGGGTGGGTGACCTTCTTTGCCATTGCAAATTATACCTTCAGACACGTAGGGAAGAAAAGAACTTCACATAGCGGAAGGCACGGTTCGAAATTTGCGATCTAGCCCTCACTCAGTGTCCTAAACTTCCGGATTTGCTTACAGACTTATGCTAAACATATCCCGTATAAGTACTACGTAATAGCCGAATGGCATCGAGATACTTACAGGTGCGGAGCCTTTGCAGTTGCGGAATGCTCCACAAATCTAGAAAATCCCATCTGAGAGCAAGTTCGAGAGCGGGATTGTATAATAAATAGGAAACAAATTCTTGGGGATTACTGCTTAGTTGTTAATCAGGGTGTTTTATCTCCTAGACAAAGCGCAACTAAATATTTATAGCGAAATCTGACCCAGTCCATGCTCAAAATTTCATCTCTGCACACAAAGCCATGCTTCAGCAATATGTTGAAACTATAATCCTTAAAGTGAGATGTACTCAACGTTTTGGGGCGCACAGAAAGTCACAGAAGCTTCCTCCAAAGTTCAGATAACATGTACATTTCAGCTTCCACGAACTACACCAATAAATGTTCACCGAATTAATTCCCAGAATACCAAATTCAACATTGCCAGCATGTTATTGAGGATTTGTTATTATTAGAAATTTTCATGCAGTCGGAATCACAATGCAAATGTGCCCCAAACCAAAAAAGTGTTCGAGTGCTATTTTTCAACGAGGCAACGAATTTGGCTAAAAGCGCAATATTGGGGACTGAAAGTAATCACTTAAAGCCCTAAAAGCTTTTCAACACTCTGGGTCTTTCCTAATGAATTCTCCATGTTTTTCGGTCACTTCCACTCTCGCGCCGCTAGAAAGATTCAGAGTGTCAAAAATATTCCATCTTCTCATCAGCCTGAGATGTGATAAAATACTAATTAGATATTCCGATCACGTTATTTTCGTCATTTTTCCTAGATTATAAACTTTCCTATAATTCTCCCATTTACAGTCCCCAAGTAAAATTTGTCTTTCACTCTCAATTATTGTACACATACGTTTAGAGTTTGATATAGCCTGGGTCACGACTTTCAAATGAGTTTCGAGAGAGTCCCATGTCGTCCTGTTTTCAACAAGAAAGATCCCCCCAAGCACCCCTCGCTCAAAACTGAGTGACTTTCGAATGATTCTGCTTGTGTATTTCCTCTCCCATCCCCGTAGGATACCCATAATTTGCATGCAAACGACAACGATACCTACATCACTCCCATACATAAATCCTCGAGTCTACCTTTTCTTGATGGTTTCCGGTATTAGAAAACTTTCTGAGGGACACCCCAGCGTATTCTATTTAGTGGCTTTTGCTATCCCCAATTAGATAAATCTCGCTATAAGGCTCAAATCTACGGGCAAAAAGTTGGTAATGCTTTTGGGATTTTCGTGGAATGGGAGCGGCGGAGGCATGTTCATTAAATTCCACAAAAGAAAACACAGGTAAAACACACAGGAGCAATCAGCGAGTGATATCAAGTGATGAGAGATAATTTAACTCAATTATCTGACATTTACACCTACTAATTCCACTCAAAGTGGATGCACTTATAAATCTTATTAGTTGCAGAGCCATTTAAAACCTCTGATTCTCTCACCACGTTTCCCCGGAGCCAATGGCAGTGAAAAACTTCCCAGCGACACATTAACGTGATAAAGTCAGCAAAGTACTGAATTATCCTTCCACTTCCACATTTTGCCACATTTTATACATTACCAAGGGTGTTCAGATAAAAAAGTGATCGATGAGCCTCATGGCTCCATTCTATACATAGAAACTATATATTTTTCAAGGAGAACTTTTCTGATGAAAAATTGACAACCACTGTTAACACACTCTCGTGGGGGCGGCACGCAGAAAAAGTCCTCCCTCTCTCTCTCTCTCTTTCTCTGTCCATGAAGAATTGCCCAGAGAGTGAACAAAGTGTTGTATGGAAGTTTTTTTTTCCTGTATTGCGGACAAAGAACCAAAGAGGACAGAAAAAAAGCATAACCACAGAAGTTAATATCAGTAGAACCACATTTTGCCTTGTAGCAGATATTTTCAATTGTGCTCCAGGATTATGATAACATGTCCAGTTTTTTTTCTCATTAAATATCAAGCCCTAAGCTGTTTTGCATGGCAAAAGGAGTAAGGAAAAAATGTCATTTACATTATACTTCACATTCCACTCACAAAGCTTTGTAAATTATGCGGCAAAATTGTACTAAACGTTCAATATTCAACAATTATACCGAGAATATGGAGAGCAAAACATAACAGGAAATATAGCTCAAAGGATTATTATTTTCTCTTCAAGTCTATGCCTTTGAACTAATTAAGTATCAAAGTTATGGACGGGCGGGCAAATATGAAGTTTGCGAAACCAAGAGAATTATTTATGAATGAAATACATTTTGAGATGTAAACGTAAATTTACGAACATGTAATCACGTGCTCCTCAAGTGTTTACCAACATCACTAATTAGAACAAATATACTGAATGAAGACGACATGTGAGTCAAAGTTTCCAATATTAATTCAATCTTATACTGTTTATTCTTAATTCAAATGTACTAATTATTTAAGAAATATGATTTATTGCAACTTTTGTGAAGAAACTACTTGAAGCTTTGCAACTAACCACTGTTGGTTTGAATACTTATTACAAATAATGAGCTTTTCAGTATTCGTAACCATTCAAGCAAAGTCTTGAACAAAGTTCTAATACTTTTCATGCTCACAAAAAATACACAACAATATAACTCGCGCACACCAAGGATTGTGTCTACGGATAAGTTCTTATTGGCATAAATAGGGAAATCATTATCATAGATTCAATGAAATAATAAAGTTGTAGGAAGTTCTTTTTTCTCCAGGAGTTGGTGCATGAGAATATAACAATAATGTCGGGGTGTATTATGGTAAAACAACATCTGCTAAAAGTTTATAAATTCAATCTTGAAGTTGAAAACTCATGACCAGAAAAGCAAAGAAGAAAAAGATGAGGAGAAATGGAAGGGGAAAAAGGCGAAAATCCCTCTGAAGAAACCTGTTCAAGACATTTCCATTTACTCCCAATTTCCGGAATACCTTTTTCTCCCCCAATACATTGTCCTCACCATTTGCATATAGAGGGACATTTTTTTCTTCTCCTCCGACCTGAGAGAACAGTAATCACTACCGAGATAATATATATCCATTTCAGTACACATTTGTATGAGGAGTATGGTACTTATCTCGGCGGTTTTCCCATAATAGACACCCTCAAAAGAGATACATTGACAACAATGATAGATGAGATTAGGAAGGTGTTCAAGACTTTCCCTCTTACTTCGGACAGACATGCTCTTTCGAGCTCTTCGGCATCACGCTTACAAGCAATGACATTTTGATAACACATGATTAAATCTTTAGTTATTGCTCTTGGTAGCAAAAAGAACGTACTGAATACAAAATATTTCCTATTTTCTTTATTCCTATACACATTACCGTGGGTATCTCTAAACTATACTCCTAATGAGAATGAATACCGTTCAGGATATTATCGCTTTCAGCGTAATAATATAAAATTTAATGGAAATACACATTCTCCGTTTTTGCGAGTATTTTTGGTGTAATTACACATACTGACGATATTTTAGAGAGGTTGATTTTGCACTGAGTGTGTTTTAGCCTTGTTCTGTATAGCGATTAAGTTTTAATTAAAATTTTTATTACCGGAATTCCACAGAAGAACATCACCAAATGGCGAGAGGACTGTGCGACCTAGCGTAAAAAAGTAGGACGAAAGATTATGCCATGGGCAATTTTCAATTTAGTTTTTATGACTTTGGGTACAGCAGATTATCAAATGCTTGTAATGGTAGTGAGGGATAGTATATCCTACTGAAAGGAGAGAGAGAGAGAGAGAGAGTAATCACTAAAGTTTTTACGTTGAGTGTATCGATTTTGCTGGGTTATTCTATCCTGATTTTTTGTAAGGCTACACTATTAAATGAACCCCGAATGTTTTGCTGAAGGCATTCGTGAGCTCCATACGATTTCCACAGTTTCCAGTAATGAAAATATCTCTGGTTTTTCTCGTGGAACATCAAATGCAGCGATTGTTTCTGTGCTGAATGTTGAAATCTGTGATTAAACTGACGAGAGAAGATACGTCGAATGTTTCAAAATAAAAAGAGATCATTGTAAAGCACATTCTTGAGTACACAATTCCATGTTTGTTCTGAAAATATTCCCCAGAGTAATTTTTTAGTATTCTAGAAACGTTGCTAGAAGTATTTTAATTACAAAGAACAATGGGAAAAAAACTGTCCAAATATGCAAAAATATTTCATCTCAGCTCGGTGCAATCTGTTTCTATTAAAAATCATTTACAAATGAAAATTTGTGGTCTTTCACGTTCCACATCTGTAAATTAAATTTCACCCAGCGCAACACGAGTGATCCATTAAAAGATTATGCGGTCGAGCACGAATCTATACACAACTGTCCTTACAGGTTAAGCTCTCCAATTAAATGCCAAGGGTCGATATGAGCTCGAAAATTGTCACTTTCAATTTTCACAAGCACTCCACCTGTCATGTGGAAAAGAACACGTTGGCGAAACAATTCATCCATCTCAGCCCCAAATGGATAAATGCTGTTTCCCCACACTGACCCCAAAGTACATAAACACTGAGGCATTTGATAGACGCATTACATCCATTTATCATCCTCATGGAAGAGAACCTCCAGGATCGATTCTATAATGTCACCTCATTGAGGAGGAGAGCTCTCGTTCTCTGCCTCCTTTTTATTATTTCCCCACTGGCATTATGTATACCCACTTGAATACCATTTAATTTTATTATCTTGTGGTTTACGGGATAAAAAATGACTTTATCTCCAGTGTGGAAACTCACAGAGATATAATGTAAAGTCTTTTTTGCTAGCAACATTTATGCGCTTGTATTTTCACGACTGATTGCAGGTCCAAGTCGAGACGAATTTTCTCGATAAAATTCTATATTTGTATCCCATAATAAAATAACATTAAACTTCATTTCACGTTCGAGGTGGAATAACCCCTACGACTTTCCGACATTGGCAAAAGAAGCAACAAATAAACTCATCTCGTACATTGCTATCATGGTCCCATTTTCACACAAAATTGATGTAATTCGATTTGCACAATTGCCACAATAGATTGAAACATTCTTCCATACATTGTACAAGAGATTTTCCAGCACTGATGAGGGCGGTTGAGGGAGATTTGGTTAGGGAAAATCATGTGCCTCTGGTGGAAAGTAATATAATAGAAATATTCGTAGAGTGTATGACGAGACTACAGTCGTCTAGCGGCAACTACCCGTCTTGAGAGAGCTCATACTTGTCCCATTCAAAAATCCCTCTCTAAACCATTTAGTTGGCGAGACGACATCCTTTCTGGCAAAATATGGAAACGATAACAGCGAACCGTCATCGTTTTTCGCTCATACTCAGCACATACTTGATGTTCCGTTTACACACCAATTCTAATAAAATTTATATATAATATACATCCGACGTGTATATAATTCAGAGAGGAGAGATTTTCCAACAAATAATCCTAGCCAAAAGGATGTGTGCCACCGCTGCCATTCCACACGGATGTGTTACATTGAAATGGCATTTTCATTCTCAGACGAAACTACCCCTGAAAAATATGATTCTTCCCATAAAATACCTGGCAACTCTGCCCACGCTCTCAAATCCAAATCTCTCGCATACGTTGAGTCCGACGCCTCGGCACACAGAGAGGCTATATGCCTGGATATAGAAGATGACCGTTCCAGAAGTACCCAGGCCGTCATTGTGAAGTTCTCCTTCCCTCGATCTTCCTCGGGGACTCGAATTGTACTGGGATTTTTCTGTTGGAGAAGAGAAAAGGCGGGAAAAGTATTTATACATATCCCTAATCAGAATGTAACATCGTAGTCCAAGCAGTGTGAAAAAAGTAAGCTTCAATCGATGTCTCGCTCCAATCCCATAGAAGTCACACGAGAAAAGCATTCCTGACTATCAGTTTCTTCAATAACCAAAATGCTCTTCTTAAAGCACACAATTTAAAGAGTGCTAGAAGAAAACTATATAACATTCACTGTACTTATAGTCAAAATGAAACTCTTCTCATTTTCATATCACTTGAAAACTCTTTTCAAACTGTTTCACCGTATTATCTGTCAAAAGAAACAGATTTTTCTTCTCAGATAGGTCTTTGCGTATGCGAGAAAAACAAGTAATAAAAAGAAACTTTTGGTTATCTCCCAGGGAAATCGGTAAATACGTGTATTTCTTTACATACATATATCTTAAATACGTCGCACAAATGTCAAATATTGGCAAGAATTAGTGTGATATATTGAGCTTAATACATATAAGATTTATAAATTAAGTTGTGGCAATATACCTACGAAAGAACACAAACTTTTTCCACCAAGCACAACGTCCTCAACTGGGATAAAATGCTCAGCATTATCAAATTGTGATGGAGAGGCGATGAGGGAAGCAAATACTCAAGATTAATAAACTTTCTGCCAAATAATCCCTCTTGTGTGCGACGTCGCCTCTTTTTTCTTTGCACAACTCACCGCCTTTTTTCCTCCTCTTGTCAACGAGAATCATAACTTTTCTCTTTCCTCCCATCACACACAATTCCACTCTCATAGTGCCTCTAACAGCGTGTATAATTTTCCTCACTTTATCACAAAGTTACATGAGAAGCTGAGAGAACTTTAAACTTAATCAGACATGTGTACATATGTATTATAAATACATTATGATGTAATATGCAACCGCATGAGAAAGTCTCATGAGCCAGAAAACTGTCGAGAACAGTTAACCAATGTGTTTTACTTCTTTTCGCCCCAAATATGATCTTATCTTAAATTCATTAAGTTTTCTCAAAAACTTTCACGTCAAACCCGGGGTGTGCGTTGCAAATTTATGCGCAGATAAACTTCCTCCAAATGGATTTAATATAATATGATTCTTCGGAGCTGAGAGCAAGTGCATTGACACGCTATATCGATTTAATATTTCATCATACCTGTCTTAATTTCGCCATTGCATCCGAAGAGATGAAATCGCCCTTCTGGAATTTCGTCACGAAGCACATCACTTGATACTGACTCTGTCCCCGCTCCTCCTCACCCAGAACGAGTGCCTTGAGGACGTGCACCTCCTGCCAATGGAATAGTAAAACAATAAAACTTCCAATACAGTCACAGACAATTGTATATATCACAAAGAGTCAGGATACATGTGATCAATTTCACATTCTTCTCACATTTAACGTTCACACCATCGTGAATACGGCACTACATACGTTACAGTGTCTCTATAGACACCAATAAATATAACCACTTCCCCACCAGACTCTCAAATGGCACACAAAAACGGGGTTCACTCGGGTGCCACCAAGTACAATCGTCGGAGGAGTGTTGAATTTGTCTGCAAAGTCTTGTGAGCAACAATTTCCAGACAATAAATTCAAACTGAACGTCCTCAGCCCTCATTTTATATTTACTACCCACCCCGCCAATTATTATTTCAATTCATTCATCCCGACAGAAAGTGAGCTCAGCGCACAAAGTAGTAACAATGATTCCAAATTCATACGATAAGAGCTGAAATATATTAAATTAAATTCCTAATAAGCCAACTGAAGAAGCTAATTTATTTATTCACTCGACTTATACAGGGAAATCATTAAAATTTCATTGAGTCGGAATATGTTAAATGTTTTCCATATCAAACAACATTTCCAAAAATAACACAACACACCGCGTCGATCCCAAAATCTGAGTGTATGAAAAATCTCCACCCTATAGCTTCAATCACGGTGGTGAATGGGGAGAAAATTGTTCGAGATCATTACTATTCCAAATACACAATGTTTCAGTGCGGGCGTGAAAAAGCGAAACCCATTGAGTTGAAGTGAATTGCTGTCGATGAAAGTATGGGAAATCAATTTAACATTTTGCCACCCACACATTTGTCGCTGACCTACCACCCACTTTCATCCACACACACACACTCACACACCATGAGAATCAATCATTTTGCAACTGACGAAAAGCTTCAAAAGCCCCACTGACCAGCCCGAATTGTTATCTCAACAGCAACTCTCTGGCGCTACTGTTGCTACAAAAGAAAATAATATATCACATCCAGGGTTCGGGGATCAATGATAATCAAGGGTTTTTGTGTGTGAATGTCGCACAAAAATCGTGACTGGTGTATGAGAGGCGAAGAAAGGGAGAAATTTTCACAGGGATATTCTGAGAGAGCCCAGAAGTAACACTGTTCACAACTATAACGAAATTGAACAAGTTGGAATGGGAGGCCCAGAGTGAAATTGTATGGAAGGAACAATCAATATCCATTCAACTTGTCAAGATTATATATGGTGGATCTCCCAAAGATATACCTGTTTTTTCGCTCTTGCCATTTCTTTTTTATTCCCACCCCGCTTGCCTTCTATATACATATACAACAGAATGTGTTTTCCTCTTGTGTGCCGTTTTTATTTATTCATACAAAATAGTTAAGCAACAAACAGAATATTAAATAGTTGCTGTATGGCACGCTCTATTCTTTCCTCATATATAGCACGCCCGACTCAAATCTCAGTATATAGAGATAGACTGTTAGAAAAGTTGTGCACAACTTTGCCGATGATATATCATGAAATATGTCATTTATGGAGCAATCAATGGTATTCACAGATATATTTTTCTCTCAACTTGCCGCCATCTCTCTTTCGGATGGTGGAGAAAAACAGCAAACTCTCCTCGTTTCATATTTCAACTTTTCATCCAATTTATTTTCGGATCTCAGAAATTTATCTATTGTCTCTTGGAAAACTCTTAGTGAGTATAGTGATATGTATGTACCATTATTTTCATATACTCAAAGTCACGAGAAAGACAAACACAAGTGGCATAAACTTTTGCTCGGTTGTGAAAGTCATTCTTCTGGCGCCATCGTTCCACACAGCTACATATATACCAGACATAATGATGTCAAGTGGTTTTATGTCTGCATTCATTCTCATGAAAATTCGTTAGTTTCTGCGGTAGTTTACAGATAACTGGCGTGATTGTCAACAATTCTTTTGTTTATGTTTTAGCCTCGAAACGAAGGATTCTCTTTTATTTGTCCAGTGTTTTATTCACTTCAGAAATTTTTAAATTCTACTAAATGTATCATTCAATATTGAATTGATCAGTAAAGTTTGGGTACAAATGGTGTCAATTGAGAACTTTGAGTGCAGTATTCTGTCCAACAACTCTATTCAGCGACAATTACAGTGAAACCTTCAGTCTAATCTAAAACATGCATTGAAACTCAAATGTTCATTATTTGCAAGTGACATTTTGGCTTTTGGTCAGGAGTGAATTTCATTGTGAATGTTTTTAAATTAAATCCAATTTCACCTTTAGTGTGCATGTGTACATAACCACATGTTTATTCCGAAAATTCCCATTAAGAAATATAATTAGAACACTTTGTTATGTTGTCATTGACAGATTGTACTTATTAGTTGATTTACCAAATTTATGGCAGGCGCAACTTTTAACAAATCAACTGCTGCTGTTTTGCTTGTTTATCATTTTGCGCCCCAAATATATATGCATGAATAAATTTGTGTTAATTATGACTGAATTAAACACATTCATATAGCGCTTTGCTCGCGTTATTACCAGTGCATAAGCGACAACATCAACTTTCCGCCAGTCTAAAGAGAATCAGTATTTCACTTGCAGTCCAAATCCATGATGCATTATTGAGAAATGAATTGATTCCTAATCTCTATCGGAAATCCGTAATAATCTGCCATAATCTGAAATATAAACTCAAGTTAGGACTGACTGCAATTGCGAACTGAATGGTGCCTTTGGGCAGTTTGTTCCTCTGCTGCCTTATGCATTACGTCAATGTTATGGATTACGCTCAGCATGATTTTCTCCGGATATTTGTACTATAAAATTCATATTTGAAGCTTTAACAAATTTCCGATAGCTTTTCAACAAATATTGGGACTCTGTTGCAACTATACTTCCTACAGGCCTAACATTGCGATTTTCCGGAGAACCTTTTATTCACCCACACCTCACGATAACATGACGAGTAATGCCCAAAGTTAGCTGTTAATATCCCTCAAGATACTCACATGTTACGAGGTAAGACGCCCAATGGCACCATGACAGTGGGTGTGGAAGAAAAAAGGAAACTATTTAACGTGTTAACCACCCTCTTATATTCATACCTTACATGTTCTTCCACTCCGTTTTATCGCATGGTATCCACCCCTTGAGACTCCTTAACTTTCTTTTGTGTTTTTGTTTTATGTGTATTATATCACCTCAAGAAGTATTGCCATTGTAACCCCTTGCCGCCGGAAGAGCGGCACAAGATTAAAAATGTGATGCAATTAGGGAGGTAATAAAAGCCAAGATACATTCCACAGCGACCCAATTAGTTTCTTGTCCACGATTCCTGACTTATGATATCTGCACGCGCTGCGAAAACTCATACAACTCATAGCATAAGCCAAGCTCTTGGGAGAAAAAGTTGACAGTGTGAGCTTTGAAATGTGCCTTCCAGTCCGCAGTTGAATTTTCATGCCATCTCCCCACCTAATGGGGAAAATTTAATAAGAGTTAAATTCATTTACAGAAGATATGTAGAGGAAGTCGTCCAGATAATTTTGATACTTTATGTCAAGAACATCCTCTCGGGAGACAGACAGTGCGGTAAAATGAAACCATGTGGCCTAGAAACTCATACGATAAAACTTTCATACAAATGTACATACGCCAAAAACCACCATGGCAAAAGCGAGTGACTTGAGAGTAAAAATCAGGAGTTTATTGAACTTCGGCATTTGGCAAAGTCCTTATCAAATAACTCTTTGAAGATGTAATGTACAAACAAAATTTCCGCCTGATTGAGTAGAAAGCTTTTGGAGAAATCGATTTTTATCATATCTAAATAAATATAATCAAACACAAAGTAATTTCCTTAATGTGCAATTAGATATTGCCCTTACTTCAACCCCTTCTACAACCACTCCAATATCTGTGTAACCTATGCTAGAAGCACAGCGTATAGCATAATAATAAGGATAAGAATCTTCCAATTTCAGTTAGTAATTTAATCGAATTGTATTTCCACCAACTTTGCAATGGCAAAATACATTTTCCATTTCATATAGCCAACGCTATGGTGTTCTCTGTCTAAAAGAACTTTCTGAGTACTCATTGTCATTGTCATGTTGTATTGGGGTATTTATATCAAGTTTCCTCAATGTGTAATTTCTTTGCTTTGCTCCGTTTTTCACCCTGCAATTCCACCCACTTTCCTTCAAGCGATTCCTCGAAAAGTATCTTGCATATTTCCTTTCGCAGAAAAATTCCCATCGACAAGCACAATCATAACAAGTACAGTGAAAACGATAAAGAATCGAACATTTTACCTGTTCTCATCTTCTTTATTGAGAAATCATTAAAATATTACTTCTACTGATAAATTCTGATTATTTCTCAGATTTAAAACAAATGTGCAATTTTTTCTGTTTATTTACTTGTTCATGACTAAATAACAAGAAGTGTGCACTAAAGGCGACAGGAAAGACGAGACAGAAGTGAGAATACTCTTTTTCTCAGAGAAACTATGTAGAGAATCTTTTTATTTGTACAAAATGCTTCCCTAACACCCACACAACATTCCCTGACGCTACCGTGAAGGTGTCTCTGCACTAAGTTTTCACTTTGCGTCCTCATCGTCTTTTTACAGATCCCAACTTCACTATGCTTACCCTCGGGCAGACACTATAGACAGTGCATTGGAAATTGTTGGAGGGCAAAATTTCAGCACCTCCTGAAAATTCTTCCACAAAATCGTTATTTCACCTTTTTACACCCTCCAAGCGCCACTGTAAACATGGTATGGTGGAGATGCGAGAGAGAAATGAAGAGAAAGGTGAATGTATGCCTCTTGGAATGGCGATAAATGGTGGAATTTGCTTGCCAATGACACTGAATATAAAGTCCATGGGGAATGTTTTTCACCTCTCTTCTACTTGGCAAGTAGTACAAGGGATACACTACTTGGTGCGGTGAGAATAATACCCACAGAAGAAGAAGAGGGAATAAAAAAAATCACAAATTTATGTCGCCAATAAAAACACCTCATGGAATTGCGGTTCTTCTGCGGCGGGGCAGCTCACCCAGTCTTCCTCCACCCAATTACACTCATTGCTCTTGCAAAGTCCCGAGGAAGTCCAAAAGTATCTCACCTTTCTTACTCTCCACATCGTCATGTATAATACGAGATATTCTCACTTTTTGCATACCTCTGTATACAATAATTTATATAGGAGCTCATAAACTTCACAGTTTTATGCATATCGCAGAGCAGGGGTGGCACACAGAGGCAAGGGACTCAGTTGCCTGTTGAACTGCAAAGCTCACAACACAACCATAATACTTCCAACCCAGAATGTGAATGCGCTTTTCAAAGAGTTCACCCTGGAGTTCATGAGGATGAAGGCATCACTCACGGTGAGTTCATTATGAGTTTTGCGAGATATATACTGCTTAAATCTTACAATATGGCAATTCGGCTTTGCATTATGGTTATATTCAGCAAACTTTGCTAAAGAGGTTTAAATAGTTTTCATGGCATTTGCATGCAATGCAAATTAATGACCATAAAAGCGTAAAATATGATAAAATTCTACCATCTCTCTCAACAAACAATCTGAATATCAACCATTTTCCGGTTAAATTACAACCAAATATATTAAGATTTTACCCAGAAAAACTCATTTATCAACTTGAAAAACAAGCCATAATCTTCTAAAAACTATCATTTAACGCATCACTCACTACTAATTCCACAGGATAAAAGAGAAATTAAGGTAAGGGATTAAAGAAGAATAATTATGCATAGAGAATAACTTGTTATTTTTTTAAGGCCAGCCGAGCCAGAGATTTACAATATGTACTAAACACTGAAATAACGATTCACATTTTATTTTGTTGGCTTTCTAAAATATCTCACAAAAAGGCAGACAAAACTTAAAATTAGAAATTCCACAGTCGCATCTTTGAATATTTGACATTAGACTTGCTTTGTCACGACATCAACTCTTCAAAAAGTTTACACGTGACAACAAAATGCAATCAAACTTCTTGGAGTTCTCATATTGTCAAGAATGTGAACTCTTGTTAAGTCCTCCAACCCCTTTTCTCGCCAAAGTCCCCCAAAACTCCGTGTGTGCGAGCGCGCGCTCAGCTATTCATTGACCACCTGAGTGCATGAAGATTCAACCCCATGGCATGTCACAAAGTGTGAGACTAAGAAGACATAGACTAATGTCTGTGCCATCGTGGGTTGAGCAAGTGTGTTAACCACCTATCCGGAAGGACATATAATGGAAGTGAAATTACTTGGAAACTTTTCGGTTACAAGGCAAATTTTAAGTTTTATGGGATTTACCAACTTCCTTTCTCATCATTTCTTTAACACGATGACAAGACTCTATTGTTAGAAGCCTCTGGAGTTGGAATTTTGGGTAAAATCCCAAACCCGTTTTGGGGAAAATTTTCTTTCACACACACACACACCCACTCACACATATGGCTTGTTGCTGTCGTCGAAAGCACAAAATACCTCCCTATAGCAACTGATGTAATCCCTAATATATTCAGGCCTCTAATCTATGCTCCACTACATTTTATGTTAAATTAATCATATGTTGAGCATAGATAAAGTGGCTCCATTGGAACAATAAGGACCGAATATGCCATTGTAGATTATCATTTTCTATACACTTTAATTGCAAAATTATCTCAGTCACACGTAGTGATCTAACAATTGCTTCAGTGAACAGAATATGACCAAAACTTTTCTCCTCTCTCTCTCTCTCTCTCTCATTTGAAAATAAATCACCCAATTAAGCTCCCAATTCTTCCATGTCAAAAACTCTCAAATATACGAAATGGAGCTTTTTCCGCTAAGAAAACACAATATCGCAAATAATGATGGTAAAAATATAAGATGATGTTTATTTTCTTCCGCAAATTGCATTCCTCCAAATGATATTATCTATATACGGAAAAAGTTGTTATTGTACGTGTGTCGTTACGTCTGGGAACTTTCCTATAAACATCCCTCTAATTGGCAATTTTCCTTTTTATCAGAAATAAACATTTCACCATTTGAACATGGCAGAGGAGCGAATTCACGAAAAAGATAGATACCAGGATGTGGAAATGTACAAACTCCACGTGATTCCATACACAAAATTCAATTACATACCGTGAATTGGCGCTCAAGAGCAACAATAAACCCTCGTTAGTGGACGGAGTGCACGGTAATGGTTGAAAATCTTGTTAAAAATATTTTCCCAAATGATCCAAGAGGGAATATCAAAGTTTCTCCTTTTAGTGAATACTGTCAGTGAGACGAATTTTACCAGTGCGATATGAATGTCACAAAAGAGATCACTGTATTATGACACTTTTCACTCGGGGCATAGATGAGAATCTCTCAGTGAGTCAAATACACACGGGAAGCTCATGGGCAAAGTGGTTGTTTGTCAATTGCATATTTTCGCACAGCAGGGAAATCGATAAGTTACAACCATTCTCGGTCTATCTCGCCATCACGGAGCCACTTCTCGGCAGGACACTGAATGGATGGTTTTGAGTGGACCCATTGATCGGCGGCCAGACTGTTTTGTGGCAATTTAGTGGTATATCTGATACGCATTTGATCACTTCCCGTCATATTTCTGATACTCTGCGCAACGATAAATAACCAATTGTCATACACACGGTGGACCATTCAGCCATTGTCGCTGATTTTAGTGTCGGAAAAGTGACAAAGATGAAATCAAACGGAAAAACAAACATTTCGCTACAATAAATAAAATTCTATCACTCTTCCAGCTTTTTAATGAATGGCTGAATTATTAGAGTAATACACACTATGTGGCGATGACAGTTGCACAGTTACGAGTATTACGCAGTTTTCTTTATAAAATATATGTATATTTACACCATACTTTTCAATGCTGTGTTCTCTTAGTCAAAGGAACTTGTTGAATATGAAAAGTTTCACTCATCCAATTAGTGTGTTATCCATGCATATTTCAAATGTAGCATAATACATGACACGCATTTAACTTATGTTTGTTTTCCACAATTAGATTTTCATTCCCACACAAAAGTGTATATTTGAGAATTTATTTATCTAACTTGTCACTTTATCAGAAGAATTCTCTTGAATTTCTCAGGAAGGTGCATTTTGTTTCTCTTACAGATGTTCCGTAAACTTAAAATGCTTCTCAGATAACAGAGTTGGAAGAAAACATAGAAATCTCTATCTAGATGGACTGTCTGGATTTCCGAGAAACTTCAACAATGCATCTCGCAAAAGGTAATCCATCATACTGCACTCTAAGAGAACTTTCTCTCAGGAAATTGAAAATCTCAGCAAACTGGTCTGCCAATTTAAGTTTCCATTGCATAGAATCTATGGTATTGTTCCAACCTCTCAAGAACACAATTGTCAGGACTTACGTTCCGAAAGTCAATCAATTCTGTGATAAGAGTTCCGTCCGTCCTCTGAAACTCCAACGTAATAACATCATCACTGACATTTGAAGTTATTGTCTCTTGCACCACTTCGCCTCCCTGCAAAGACAGCAAAAAGAAACAAAACCAATTAGGAAATGGTTGAAATTTTTAAATTTATACATTTTTATGCACTTAAAAGGTGAAACTTTCGTCTTCACCTGCCTCTGGGATTTCACAGACAAACCTGAAAAGCCAATGGACATTTCCACCCATTGAATCCTTTGTCATGAGACTATTCAGCTGCAACATTATTCATATATACTCTCAAGCAGGATTAGCTTTTGTGATAGATGAGAAGCTTTGCCCTATCAGTATCACAGGGTTTCTACTTTGTATACTGTGAAACTCAGAACAGTGTGAGTATGAACGTTCTGCCCAGAGAGTTTATATTCAATAGACAAGGAAATCGTATTTATATACAGCATTAGAGAAAATACGTCGCTTCTGATCACGGACAGTAAATATTTTAATGCTTTGTTGCTTTTAGAATATCACAATGCTTCCATACTCAACTCAATTGAACTCTGTTAAATTGTTTATCAAGAGAAACAGTGTCACTAATTAACACAATTTTAATTGAATGGAAAATTTTATACCGTGTCCCTTTCGCTTCAACTGCATGATAATGGGGAAGGACCATGAGAAAATAACGCCAATGTGGTGTGTTTGTGAGATATGAGGATCACGAGAGGAATGTAAATTTCATCAAGCTCCCCAACAATACTTATTATATAAATAATCATATTTCCTTCTTATGTCTCTCACCCAGAACCTCTGCCACATAGAATGATATAAAATCAAATTAAGCGACAAATAGTATACAATGGAGACCTCTTGACCCGAAAGAACACAACCTTGGAGGTGAAATAAAATTAAGATGCCATAAAAATAAAGCTTTTCCTCTTCCCATCTCAATGCGGGTATAAAACAAATCAGCTTCGATTGCTTTTCTGCCACACCATTGAATATATCATTCTGATGGTGGTGCTTGGGTGCCTCTAATGACTCTCCAGCCGTCTCCCTGTGATACCCTTTTCCATATGAATTGATGATTTTCCGGCATGCCATGACCCAAAATACTAATGAAGAAGAATTGTGTCCAATATTTGACGGAGGAGTGTGAGGAGGCTTTTTCCAAGGGAAAAATGACTGCTGTCAATAACAGAAAAATATTAATAACGCAAAAATAATGACTAGACGCTTTTTCGCTACCACAAACCTTTTCACTCTCAGAGTCAGGAGCTTAGGCAAGAAAAAGCTCAGAGAGTGAGAGAGAGAGAGAACGGTATAAATCGGCAGGAAATTGAGGATCAAGGGGAACGATTAACCCTTCCATGGCTTAGTGGGGGTGAGTCCGGATGATGAAAGAACATGATTCGTGCGAGCTGATGGGAAAGGTGCCACTTGGGGTGGATAAAAGCAGAGCTTTTCTGCATAAAATATATATACTCCTACGCGCCATGTGAAAAGAATCCCCTTTTCTTTGTTACAAATTCTGCGATATTGTTCATATCATCTCAATTTCTGCCGTGTCGAGCCTATTAAGACGAGCCCCGCAACGTTATGCCTCCCCATGGCATCGTCCTGACGAGGAAAAACAATATTCTTGAGGTATTGTTGAGAGTATCCAAAAGTGTCAAATACACTCTAGACACAAGAACTTCTTTTGTAGGTCAACAAGGGCGGATGGCAGAATGACTGCGGCTCAAATTGCCTACAACCGCATAATTTCTCCCGAAGAAAAGTTTCCACATTAAATTTTTATTGCGTATAAATTGCGTGCTGCCCTATTCTAATATATTGACTGCTGGCTGGATGCTATAAAGCACTCTCTGGGAAAAGACATAAGGGAAAACACATGTGAATAAGTTCTTTATTACTCCCCTTATAATGTCACATAATGTGAATTTCAACAGTAAAGCAAATCCCATAAATTTATCCGCGATTTTTCCCGCTCATAAATGTACTCCACACGAGAGAGCCTCTCTTTCCTCCAACAATATAAGGGTATGCACATCTATTTTAAGAAGCACTCCCCAGTTCATGAGACAGTACAGCGCGAAATTGAGGAAATTCCCGTTTTCACGATGTTTATTTGCATGGCTTTTTCTCAGAAAACAATTTCAGAGTGAAGTGAAATTGTTTCATCTCATATGTGAATGCTTCCTTTACATGTTACGTCATATTTTTTATGATGTCCCGAAATTACATTTCATTTTCCATGTATTATTCTTAGAATAAAGTGAATTTTCATATGTTTCTTTTTGATTTTCCCTTTTACGTCGTAGCGTATGGCATTGAAATGAAACAGAGTTGTAAAAGTCTCACCCCACATTTGGAAGTATGATTACAATTTATGCTAACCACAGATTCACGATGGAGTCGCAACCACAAAATCCTTTATAATATCCGCGAAAATAACAAGTTTTAATTGCTTTGAGCAGAATTCTGCGGAAAAGACTGAGCAAAAATATGGCATTCCACGGGAAATGATTTACAACCAGTGAAAGAAGCGACATAAATCGCAAGATAAACACAATTGCAAATTCCGCGTAAGACTTTTTCCGATTTTTTAAGTCATTTTCCCACTTTTCCAAAGTGTGCCAACACCGCAAAGAATGCCAGACCTTGGAGCCCATCCACCACGTCATTAGCATTGCAAAGTCGAAGCTGCGCGTCCGGATGGTGACTGACAATGGTGTGGCAAAGAAAATTTCTGAATCAAAGTCTGAATGGTGGCAATTAAAACAACATTTGCATTCGCGCTGGAAAGCGATGGAGAAAACCGTAAATACTACTCTATGATGGTTCGGGGGAGACATAAAAAACCACTAATTAGTATGGCAAATGCTGGGAGACTAGCGGAAAAGTGTCATTAAAAAGAAATTTTGATGGGGGAAAAATCGTCAGGATTTTCATTCCGCCTCTGGCGATAAGTGCACGATCATGAAAGCGTTTTTCGCCCCCAAATCAAAGGTTAACTGATATTGATGGCCGCAATGCTGCGAGTGCGAAAAAGTGTGCCGTACTTCTCCGTGCTCGCGCCCAGTTTTGCCTGATTGTGGGTGGTCCTGGATTTGTAAAATGTGTATTCGCCGGGAAATTTATACGTTTCATTGGCTTTGTGATGCTTTTTTTTCAATTTACCCAATCTCCCTTAGGCTCCAGACGGTTTAATTAATCCATGATTTAGAACTTTTTCATCCCACCCACCGGACGACCAGGAATGTTACTTTTGTGTAAGTCTCAGCAGGACGAAGTTGCCGGCGCGCCCCTCACATTTACATACCAATTTTTTCCTCATTGTTTTTGTTTTCCTCTGTTTCTCCTTCTGCTTAATTTCGAACACAATTATTGTTTGTTGCACAGGCGAGAAAGAAAAGTTTCTTCTGTTATTGTCTTTATACAATCACCCAAGAAACACATTGAGTCACCCGTTCGCTTTCTGTTATCATTGATGGAAGTCCGCCTGGCTTTCCTCACTCCGTCCCACCCCGGCCGAGAGCCATGGCATCTGCAATGCCTACAAATGTTGTGTGCTCCGGACGTGCAATATTTGTTGCTGGCGATACGGATGGCATAAAAGTGCGAAGCCACTCAGCAATGCTCCATGAGGCAGGGCGGGGGCGCACGGAAAAAAGGAGGGCACACAAGTGAAATGAAAATGAATTGCTAAATTAATGAAAGTATAGTCCTTATCATCCCATCCTCTCGGGCCCCATTTGGCGCCCACCCGCCGCTCCAGCTAATTAATGTGGAATTCCCATGACTGAATTGTGGGGCTTTATGGTTTCTCGCCATCGTGACGACAAAATGAAAATGAAAATGCAAAAGAATTGTTATACGGTAGATGACTCTCATTAAATAAATCCTCAATTTGGGAATTATGAAAAGGGGCGCGCGCACCATCACACAGAAGAGCCCCTCGGATTTGTACGTATATATTGGGCTTATTCACGGAATTTTAGCAAATTTTTTCGCATTGTTAATTCCATCCGCTTTCCCAACGATATTTCACTTGACAATCCTCATCTCACTTTTCGCTCTGTCTCACAACACTGGGTTCACTGGACCATTTGTGGCATTTTAAATATTTCACAGCAACAATGGCAAATTAATGTTTAATGAATCTGTGTGAAAAGCTTTTAGTTTAATATTTGTTAAAGATCAAACACCGCGAGTATCAACTCAATCATAGTGAATCAACTATGTTTTTTGTAAATTAATTTGCCCCAATGCAAAATATATTTTCTAAACACTGCAAAATCGCTTTGCAAACCCAGAATCAATAGAAAAATCTCATGTCAAACTTTTTAATCCAGAGAGCAGTGTCGAATCCCAAATTTCACCCTGTATCCAAGGTTATTTAATTGCTATGACCGAAAAATCAAGCTCTAATTGGACTTGACCTATTGGATTTCCTTCTAATTGAAAAAGAATACCCATTAAGGGACAAGAATGTTTAAACACTCCACAGCAAATTGGACAGACGACAAGTCTGTGGGATTAAGGGAGATTTCCTACAGCCTCAAGGCAATTCAGACGATGGCCTTTCCGAGAAGCAGCGCGACAATTTGACATAGAATACATATTTTGAGATTGACACGTAGAGAAATTAAAGCAAATCCAAAAGGTGTCTTGTACTAATAATAAACAAAGAACGTAGGATTTTCAGAGAAAGTCAAACAGACAAGACGAAGATTCATCAATTTCTAATCACTCTCCCCAAAATCTGTCTCGTAAATTCTTTCTCCGTGATAAGGACATAATGGCTATGGTTTGGATGGGGGAGTTGGAATTTTGGATATCTCGTTACGAAAAGCGAGAGCCTAAATAACCTCTCGAGTGGATAAATGTGATTAGGCACGTGGTTTAACAACTCCAATCAAATCGTATTGATCCGAATGCACTGCGAGGCGAATTTATGTGCTCCATCGGTGGCCTCTGGAAATATACACTCGGCAGCTGATGGATTTTCCCGGGAAAATTGCACGATAATAGGCGAATGATCATTGTCGTCATCAATGGTTGAAGGTTTAATTAAAACGACCAGCAAA